AATAGGAGCAATCAGTAGCAGATTAGATGTGCAGGAGAACAGATTAGCAACCTAGAAGACAGAATAGTGCAAGTCAACCCAAACAGAACAGCAAGAAGGTAAAAGAATAATAATAATTAAAATGAGGGAAGTTTAAGGGACTACTAGGACAACATTAAGCACACTAACATTCTCATTATAGGGATTTCAGAAAGAAAAGAGAAAAATGGGCATGGGCAGAAAGTTTAACTGAAGGAAAAATGGTTGAAAACTTTCTTAACCTGGAGAAAGAAAAAAGACACCCAAATCCAGGAAGTACAGAGAGATCCAAACAAGATGAATCAAAAGAAATCCAGAGTAAGACATACTGGAATTAAAATAGCAAAAGTTAAGGGTAAAGAAACAATGCTAAAGACAGCAAAAAGAAAACATCTAGTCACACACAAGGGAAACCTCATAAGGCTTCCAACTGATTTCTTTGCAGAAGTTTCTCAGGCCAGAAGGGAGTGGCTGGTTGTATTTAAAGTGCTGAAAGAAAGGAACCTACAATCTAACATACTCCACTTGAAAAGGTTATCATTCAAAATTCAAGGAAAGATAAAGAGTTCCTCAGGTAAGCAAAAGCTCTAAGAGTTCATCACCAGTGAACTGGCTTTACAAAAATTGTTAAATGGATTTTTAAGCATAAAAGATCATAATCAGAAATGAGACAATGTTGTTTGCTTTATATCCTCCTGATAAATATCACCAGGTGGCCACAGCAGCTATTCCAGTTATTCTCTTCATGACTCTATTGATGGTGTTCTTGTCATGTGCTATTGCCCTTTGGAAACAGTGAACCCACAATTTCTCTTGCAAGTAACCTCCCCCGAGTGCTCAACATGGTGAATCTTATTATTAGCAAGGCTGGGTTTTCTCTAGACACAGCTTTTTACCAGGACTCACAGTTTCCTTACAGACTGGTAAAATCATAGGAACTGCAAGGTGCTCGGATCACTCACATCCAAACATTAATTTTTAGCTATCCAATAAATGCATTAAACATCTGCTTCAGTACTAGTAGGTTTCCTTTCAAAGTGTACCATTTTCTGCTCCTACAAACTGGGAACATGCCCTGGCCACAATGGAAACTGGCAATCTTTTTCAGTTTTTTCCAGTCTGATATCAAAAGGGTTACTTTCTGCTTATTTATATTCCTCTATTAGTGAGGTTGGACATTTTTTTCTTTATAAAATATATCCACCTCTTGCATTTATTCTTTTATGAATTGGCTGTTTATTTCTTTGAGTCATTTTTCTGTTGGGAGACTTTTTGTTGATTCATTTTTATAACAGATTGACTAAGATTTTCACTTACTGTACAAGTCAATCTTTGAAAGTATACAATTCAATGGCTTTTAGTGTATTCACAATGCTGTGCAATCATAACCATATCTAATTTCAGAATATTTTTATTATCCCCCAAAGAAACCCACCACCCGTTAGGAGTCACTCTTCATTTAGCTTTTTCTCTGTCAACCTTAGAAAACCACTTTCTGTCTTCATGGAAATGTATACTCTGAGTTATTCATATAAATGGAAACATGCAAAAAAATAGAAAATATATGAAAAGGAAAATTTCACTGGTGAAAGCAAATATATAATAAATAATGTGAATCAGGCACTTAAATACTAGAATGGAAGTTAAAAGACAAAAGTAGCAAAATCAACTATAACTACAGTAAGTAGCTAAGGGATACACAAGACAAAATGATCTAAAATATAACATTAAAAACACAAATCGTGTTCTCAACTTCTAATCCAAAAGAACTTCTTCTATGTCACATGGTGGACACATTATCCCCTTGGGATCAAAGTCTTCAAAACAAGAGAGCTCAACAATGCCAAGATGGGAAGCATATGCTTCATAAGCAAGTTATTTGGTATAACAGTGAGAGAATCCAATACTACTTCTTCCTTTGATTCCCAAACTATATTCTTTGGATATGGAGGACACTGTACCATATAGTGATCTCTAATTTGAAGAATATACCATATGCTTTAAGACAGAGCTCTATTCTTTTAAGGTATTCTCTTTCATTTAGCACTGTAACTGAGCTTACAGTAAGTAGTCTCTCCATTTAATTTGGCCAGGCCCTTCTGGATGACATGTGATGTGATAAGATCAGTTCATTGAATATGAATGATTCTATTGCTTTATTTCCTTTGCAGTGAAATGAATATGTTGCTCAGGAGGAGTACTATGTTAAAATATCATAGTGGTAGATAAGTTATTTTGTGAGGCCATTGGTGGTGTTCACAAAACCTCAGAAGTATCAGGAATAGAGAAGGCAAATGCAGAATATTTGTTTATAATACTAAATCAAACATCTGTTCCCTCCATAATAGTAGAGGTCCAGTACAATTAACCTTCCATCAGGTTGTTTTCCCAGAAAATGGCAGCATAACAGAAACTAAATGTTGGTCTCTGCTGTTGGTAGATTGCAAATTAAGCAGTGCTATTGATAAAAGTAAGGTCAGGTTTTTGATTCCATATGTAGCCTCCATCTCTACCACTACAGCTATTTTGTTCTTGGGCCCATTAAAAAATCTCTCGTGTGGGTGAAGATATCCAAAGAGCACATCATTTTGATTATTAAGGGTGTCCTCTGCAGTAGATACTCATTGGGAGACATTCACATGGGACAAAAGTATCTTCTACATCCAGTGCCTCTTTGAGACATCCAACCACATGTCTCTTCTCCAGACTTCTATGTCATTGATCTTTCAAATCTGTTTCATATAGCCTCTTAGCTATTACCAAGGAATAAGATAGTTTATTTTTGGCCACCTCTTACTTCAGACAAAGTGAACAACCAAAATGCCACTTGAAGTCCCAACTAATGGTAAGATTTTCCTTCACTACTATCCTTCAGAGTCACCCCTATGTTGTGCTGTAGTGTTACAACTGTTCACTTTCAGGTGACACCAGAATATCATGCAGATCTATTTGTATACCAGTTTCAAGTTTTTCTTCTTCAGTCAACTGGTTGTAAGGAACTTCCCAAAACGTCAAGAGATCTCCAAGGTCTCTGCTGATTATATATTAGTAGTGTGTTTCAATTATTTTGGTGTAAGCAATTTCCTCCAAGGTCACTTAGTGTCTACCTGTGCCCTGGAGCATACGGAGATTTTACCCCAGCTATTTATCTAGTAACCACAGTAAGCAGTTTTGATGAGCCTTGAGGAACATGAGCATCCCCTTTTAAGGTACCTACTCCAGATGGGAAAATCACAAAATTTTCAAGCAGAAGGAGCCTAGTCTCCTCAGATATAGAAGGACAAACTACTTCTACTGGCAAAGGAAACTAAGAATGACTTGGTTCAAGAATATCAGTCTCATCTTGGACCCAACCACTTGTCTGCTTTCTGAAGTCACGATCTCATTCTTTCCCAAAACTATTCCATGGCCTTTTAGGTACTGAATGATCTGTAGCCATGTTTACCTCTCTGATCTCTGAGTTTGTTCAGAAATTTTCAATCTCCTTTTAACTTTTCTCAGCTTACATGGCATCTCCTCCAAGCTGCCTTTCTAAAATAGCTCACTCATCAGTCTCCACATTGAGACTGTGCTGTCCTACATCATTTGTTACGATATTTATTGTTTTTAGTCTTCTATTTATTGTGCTTTATTATTTTTCTGTATTATATTTATTTAGTGTGTATTTATTATTATTACTCAGGGAAACAATACCCTCATCTCAGGCAAAGACCATGCCTGTTTTGTTCACATTTGAACAGCACCAGGAAAGTGCTCAGTAAGCATTGGTAGAATTCTCACAACTTGGTCTATGTTATTTCCTCCTGTTTTTCTCATAAGTAAACTGAAGCTTGGTGGGGCTAAATTAACTTACTCCAGGTCACTCACAGCCAGCTAGTGCCCTAAGTCTTGGTGTCTTCCAGCTGAAGCTAGTCACCACCAAGGACGATCCACCAAAGATGGAGCTTGTGATAAATGTGACAAGCTTTCAGTTGCCCACGTGGCAGGCATGACAAGCTCAGTGACCAAAAAGTAACCATACAAGATGATCTGGTTATAAATCCCTAACTGGCCTGGTAGATCAAAGAGGGTAGTTATCCCAGGCCTATAGCTTTTTTAGCAAAGGTCAATCTTTACCTTAAGTGAGCCCTGCTCACTATTCTTGTGCATCTAGGATAACATACATTTGAAATGTCAATGTAATTTTCTTTTCCAGATCCGTCTGTGGCACCAGAGCAGGAGATCACAGAACCCCTGCCCCTAATGGTTATCTTGTTCCCCGATACCAACTCCATGCGCTGTTAACTATCCTGTACCCACCAATGTAACAGAAGTGTTGTATCTCTCCATTTTACTTTCTATCCAATCCTAGAGACACTTTCCCCTCCCTTGGCTTTCTCTGGTCCCCTTAATCTACCACCTTCCTTACAGTTTCTCCTTTGGTTTTAATGTATAAAATAAGCTGCAAAACTGCCAATCTGCACAGCCTTTTCTTAGTCCATTGAGATTTTGCTTCCAGCGAAATGGGGCTTTAAATGGGGCTCAAACTCATAAAACTTTTCTACAAGTTTGGACACTCTTTTATTGATAGCTCCATTCTCTGAGGTGAAGCTCGTTGCACTTCCCTCCCGCCCTCGAAGCGCAGGGACTATAGGGTCGTTATTTCAAGAAAACAGATCACCGCTGCCATCACAAAAACTGAGACATCTTTCACTGGCCGGTGGCACAGCAGGTGGGGGCAGGGGGTGTCCACTTCTGGCTGGGGTCCCACAGCGCCTTGGGGCTGAGCCCTGCCTCTAGCCGCCAGCCACTCAGCGGCTGCCAGCAGAACTCCGCTCTGCGCCAGCGCACGTCGTAGCTTCCGCTGTGGGCGGGGCTGGCGCGGGGCTGGCGCGGGGCTGGCGCGGGGCGCTGAGCTTCCATCTCGGGCAGGTTTTGGCGGCAGTGGGCGCCCTTGGTTGTTGTCCGCATGGAGCTGGGGGTAGCCGGGGTCGCTAGGGTGACCGGGGTCTCCAGAGAGGGCCTCGGCGACATCAAAGCCTGGCGGCAGGAGCTGGGGACGGGGGCCAAGGCGGGAGCTCCGAGGCCTGATGCTGTGCAAGCCCGTCTCTTCCTGCTCTGCGTCTACCTGGTGGGATTCTTGGTGAGTGCTGGGGCTGCTTTCCGGAAGCAAACGGCTAATGTTATTAGGGGGAGTGGGTTTTCTTGTATCTGGGGGTTGGGAGGTGTTAATCGCCAGCAGCGCCAGATGTTAGACCTGGGCCCTTGAATTCTGGCTGAGAAAACAATTCAGAGCTAAGACTCAAACACAGCAAAATTTTACTTAGAGAGTCAGAGGTAGAAGAAGTGAGCCATGTCAGACGCGAGCTAGCTGGACTGCGTGGGCTCGGAAAACAACTGGCTGAAGCCAAAAGAAAAGACTTTTGGAACTTGGGGAGAAAGAAAACAAAAGTAATGCTCCCTGAGGGAAGAAAGGAGGAAAGGCGCGGGCGAGCGGGTGTGTGCACGCGCGTGTGTAGTGAGGGGAGAGAATGAAAATGAGTCCAGAACTAAACTCATACATTTTAAATAGCACGCTCTTTAAAATCACATGCTGTCACACTTCTTTAGCCCTAGACATGAATCATACCCATCCCGTTGTCCTTCCTATGTTTCCATGCTGTAGACCTGTATAGTGTACACTACCTTTCCTGTAGTCACTTGGTAGCCTTCTTGCTTGGTTATCAGATTGGCACAATGCTTGCGTTCAAGTCACCATTACAGTAGCTTAAGGACACTGTCACAATGCCTACATTATCTCCTCACTTCATCTCATCACATAAGAACTGATTCATCTTACATCATCACAAGAAGGGTGAGTACAGTACAAGATGTTTATAGAAAGACCACGTTCACATAACTTTTATTACGGTATTGTTATAATTGTCCTATTTTAATAGTTATTAGTTATTGTTGTTAATCTTTTACTTAACCTAATTTGTAAATTAAACTTTATCGTAGGAATGTATATATAGGAAAAAAATACGTTTATGTGGTTTGGTACTCTGGTTTCAGGCATCCACTTGGTATTCTTGGAATGTTTCTGCAGTGGATAAGGGAGGGCTACTATTATAATCTTAAAATCAAAATAGTAAGCTATAGTTCTGGTAGTGTAAGTTTATAAGCTATTTAAGATCACTGGATATTAAAGACATGGCCATCTAAAGATGTAACCATGGAGAATAAAACACTGAAAAGTGTATTGGGAAGTTTATGCTTCTGTAATTAGGTGAATTACAGCTACCAAGAGAAGCAGGGAGCAAAAGGTTAATTGTTGGTTGAAAAAAAAAATTTTTTTTTTCAAGTATTCCGTTTAACCAGGATTACAAGAAAATGAATTCAGGTTGACTATTTAATAAAAGGAGTCTGTGTGCTATCTGTTTTTCTTTTCCTAAAACAGTTGTAGCAAGTAACCAAGTAAACTAGTAATGAGAACAACAACACTTAAAGGAAAAATGGACAATCTCTTAATTCAGAATACCTAGCAAAAAGGATCAGTACCTATTCTCAGAGCTGAAGAGAAAATATGTTTGAGCTTCTATTGTGTGTCAGACTTTTCTCAATTGCTGTGTCTCTTAATGGACATCATATATCTACCAGGCAGGTATTATTATCCTCATTTTATTTTTTTTTTTACAGATGACAGCGCTGATGCTTGGTAACATTCAATGAACTTTTCAAGGACATATATTTATTAGTGCCCTTGGAGCTGGAATTGGGAACTATCTTTCTGATCCCAGAGTGCCTGAACTTTCTGACTTAGTTGCAAAATATGGCCTTCCATTAATATATCAGCCTTTCAATAAACCCCAGATTAGTTATCTTCCCTAACTGCAGGAGAAAATTCACATTTAAATTCAAGTATGTGCTGCTTTATCAAGAAATACACATCATCCCCACCTCCTTTTCCACTTCATTACCACAAAACTTGTTTTGTTTTCTTATTTAAGGAACTTCTGGTAGCATATCCTCCTTGAATATTAAATATGGATTACAGAGAAGCTAAAGTGAAAATGAATTGTAGCTCAGAATGGTCCAGAATGGTCAGAATAGCTACTTAGCAGCTGCAATAATTTGTTGTATTTGGATCCTTGATATCTTTAACCTGATGAGTATAGCATAACATAGAGTACAATTATGATTTCTTATTTGCTCAAAGTTTTAGGTAGTGGTTTTACTTGTAAAATCAGTTTAAAATTAGGATCACTACTTTGAAAACACCTAGACTTCTGTTTCTAATTGGAGTTAATCAGTATTTCGTTGTTTAGGATTTGTTTGGTGTTAGCATGGTTGTCCCTTTATTGAGTGTTCATATCAAGTCTCTTGGAGCAAGTCCAACAGTTGCTGGAATTGTAGGTGAGTGATTACATTAAACATTCTTAGAGCACTGAATTTTAAATCCCCTAAACTAAGTACCTGAAAACAAAAAATAGTCTTGTAGTTAACACTATCCAAAGGTAAACTGAAAATGCTGTAAGATGAATTTTCAGAATATTAAAAATATTACTGTGGAGCAAATGTGATTTATCTTTTCCTAGATTACCTGTGTTCAGAGAAGTTTTGAGATTTAGTGTTATCCCCATGCCTTATACCAGCAGTGCTGTTACAGGGGCTTATTGAGCCTCTCCAAGGAGCTGACTGTGTAATTAAAGGATAGGTACAGACTCCTGCCTACAGGAACCTATAACCTAATGTGAGAGACCAAAAGACGTAACCTATACAGAAATCACACGATGCAGGAGATCAATTTAGGGTAAGCCTTCATCAATCATTTGCAAACTTCCAGCACTGCCACCACCACACCTTAGAGGGCTCTAAGATGTTTCTATCTGTGCAGCACAAAGTCTCCATCCAGGAGTCATTCATTTACCAAAGAGGCAAGAACAAGCAGTACTTAGGACTGTGTTAATTAATGAGAAATTAAGACTTATAGCCCTTTATCATTCAGAAGCTGGATAAGCACATATTTTGGGACTGTTTTGTACATATTATTCAGTAAGGCCTGGTCCGTGCCATGGTTTGTATTTTCCCCCAAAAGTGTACTTGGAACTATACTGGACCACTCACCAACATAAAGGTTTTTATGAAGAGCAGAAGAGACATGTTTTTTATATATATATGATATAATGGAGATCAAAGCACATATAATAGTATAAAAGATAAAAAACTTTGTAAGTTTTTTGTAAAATTAAAGCATTTTGAGAAAACTGTGAAATGTTAGAGACGTGATAATGTTAAGACTTAGTGAAACTTTCCTGGGATTCGCGTTTCTACTCCCCTGAGTACTCTCTCAGCAGTCATCTCCGTTGGAATACACACTCCTCACACAGTGGAAGAACTGTCTTTCAAGGTTCCTAAAGGGCAGCCCTTACCTTTAGCCTCTCTTCTGCTTACTTTTAATTATTTTTGAAGGCCTTTTATTAACAATTATAGTACTTGTACTTATGTTATTCCAGTTGAAAAAAAGTTGTGGGGTAATTTCATTTTTAAAAAATGAGTGTTTTTCCTAATGTTTTCCTGTTACTTTCTATGTAGTTGTTACCCCATTAATCCAGTTTGATGATGTGTCTAGTCAATTTTATTGATGATGTTGGTGTTTTTTGCAGGCTCCTCCTATGGCATTCTGCAGCTCTTTTCTAGCACATTGGTGGTAAGTTATCTTCCATCTGGCAACATTTCTAGACAGCACATTTATACTCTTTGAGTGCCGTCCAGCATGGCTGTGGTAAAATCAGAGGCAGAAGATTTACCAAAAGTAGATGTGCAGATGATTGGGATATACAGTGTCATTAGATCAAGGAGGTTCCTTCAGTCATCTCTCTTCTTCCATTGATATCTGAGAAGCTATTGGCTTAGAGGAGTCAGATGGCCTCTTCTGAAAAGGGCACTTTGAGTCAGAATGAGAGCCCACTTTTTAAGCTGTACCATGTTCTTCCCATTACTCCCTGCAGACTTTGACTAAAAAAAAGAATGATTATTACCAATTTTATCATATGTGTCATTTAATTGACAATAATCAAATTTATTTGTGCTTCTAGGACTCTGAAGTTAGACATTTTGAACTACATGGCTTATTAATTATAAAACCTAAGTGTATAGAAAGAAGGAGCCATTTGAAATGGTGATTGTATATCTACAGCATGGAGTAGAAAGACCCAGAGCTGAGCTTGACATTCTCACTTCTGCCCACTCAGTTGTTTGAAATTCACAGTTCGTAACTGATCTCCTCTTCTCTTTCTTTATGAAATCCACTATGCCACTCTGGTCTTAGCCTTGGTGTCTGGTAGTTCAGGCAGATCAAACACAACAGCCACTTCAGTCCCACAGATTGATCAGCCATGACTCTGGTCTAAATAGCTGGCTGGTAGTCTCACTGTTGATGAAAACAGTGTGCGGTACTGTGCTTCCCAAGAGTGGCTTGCATGTAAAATATATTTTTAAAAAAGAAAAGAAATTCAGTCAGATTGTTTTTTATTTAAATTCTATTTTATTGATTATGCTATTATAGTTGTCCCAATTTTTCCCCCTTTTCCCCCCTCCACCCTGCTAATCCCCACTCCCTCTAGGAATCCCCACATTGTTGTCAATGTCCGTGGGTCATGCATACATGTTCTTTGGCTCCTCTATTCCCTATGCTGTACTTTACATCCCCATGACTATTCTGTATCTATCAATTTGTACTTCTTAATCCCTTTACCTTTTTCACCCATCCTCCCAACCGCCCTCCCATCTGGCAACCATCAAAACTTCCTCTGCATCTTTATTCTGTTTCTGTTCTGCTTATTTATTTTTTAGATTCAATTGTTGATAAATATGTATTTTTGCCATTTTATTGTTCATATTTTTTTGATCTTCTTAAAGAAGACCCTTTAACATTTTATATATTACTGGTTTGGTGGTGATGAACTCCTTTAGCTTTTTCTTGTCTGGGAAACTTTATCTGTCCTTTGATTCTAAATGATAGCTTTGCTGGATAGACTAATCTTGGTTGTAGGTTATCATCACTTTGCTTTTCATCACTTTGAACATTTCTTACCAATCCCTTGTTGCCTGCAGAGTTTCATTTGAAAAGTCAACATAAATAGTTAGCTTCCTGATTTATCTATTTTCGAGTCTTTTATAGATTAAATTCGTGTAACAATAATAATTTTATTCTCATTTAACCTCTACAATGACCCAGCAAGATAATTATCTCTCTTTATTATACAGGAGGAAATCAAGACTCACAAACTTTAAATAATTTGACAAAGTCACCTTATCTCAATATCCAGACTCTAAGCCATAGTTATTTTCTTCCTAAAACTCACCTCTCATTGCCTTAAAGATCTAAAAAAGGTAAATAGAATATCAAATTGTAGGAGACAGATGCATTGCTTGTAGGGCAACATATCATATTTCATTGTTCTTTGTGAAAGAAGTTTCATATGCTTAGTAAACAACTTTTCTCTTTTACTTGGAAACTCACTACCAAAAATACTTGCTGTGTGTATATATATTAGATTAGTTTGGTTAGAGTGTACTTTAATCAGACAAGTGCCTTTCTTTTACTGGACTCAACATTCCTTAGAATAAAGACCAAGTTTGCTTTTATCACTAGCACTTACCAGAGCACCTGGCACTTAGTAGAATTTTGTGAATGTACATTTTCATTGCTTGCCATGGCCCAGCCCTCTTTTATAAATAATCCTTTTCTTTATCATATTTGTGCTTACAAAGCACATTTTATGTACCTTATAGCTGTAATTTAATGAGAACCTCCTTCGAAATCCTTCAGATGAAATACCAAATAAAATTTTTCTTTCAACCAATGCTTTTAGAATACTTTAATTATATTTTATAAAAGCATTTTAATTTTTAAAAATCTTTTTGAGGAAAGATGTGCTATGTCGCATTTGACTAATAATTTTAATATATCCATTTTAATGAAAATGACTAGAGTTTATTAAGTACCTTTTATGTATCAGACCCTGTTTGGCCACTATTGTATTCAGTCCTCATAATTAATATTCTCAACCACATCTCTAGTAGTCATGTATCTTTTAATGACTGATTTTATATACAGCACATAACAGGTGTTGAGGGGACAAAGAACCTCTGTGGCAGATACTATTATTATTCCTATTTTACAGTTAGAAAAACAGGCCTAGAGATAGGCCTCCGTATGTAATTAGGTTAATTAATATGTCTGTAGTATTTGGAATGATAAGAGTTAAGAGCTGAACCCAGACAGTCTAACCAGGGCCTGGGGTGTACCTACCAGATTCTATCACTGCCCTGTGAACACAGGGAGGCCAGGGATCTCTTATCCAGGTGGAAAGAGAGTGAAGAATTTCTAAAATCCACTTAAATGAAAACTAGGGGAAAGGGTTGATGCTATTTATATAAGTCTGACGGTATTTTGGAAGATTTACCCTCAAATTTTTTATACAGGAATTTTATAACCATCTATAGCCTATGTAAAGACATCTTTTTTTGTTTTTTGTTTATTTTTTAGATTTAATTTATTTATCTTTAGAGATAGAGTAAGAGAGGGAGAGAAACACCAATGTGAGAGAGAAATACTGATGATTGCTTCTCATATACACTGCAACCAGGGATCAATCTGCAACCCAGGCATATGCCCTGACTGGAAATCAAACAGCAACATTTTGCTTTGTGGGACAATGTTCAACCAACTTTGCTATACCAGCCAGAGCATCTTTGGGGTTCTTAAAAAAAATATAAACAGGAGTTGGGAAGTTGACAGCGAGGTAGGTGAGAGCTGAACCCACTTGTTCATGCACCCAACTAAGATACCTAGCCAATCTTCCAAAGAACAGAATGAACAACCAACAGAATCCCAGCTGATAGGAAGTTTGGAAGCCAAAGCTTGCAGAAGATGCTTAAAAAGGAACAATAAGAGTATTTTGAAGACTGACAGGAAGGTCCCTGGACCTTGTGCTAGAGACTGTGCCACCGCAGGAGCATTGGAGGAGAGCTGGGTCAGTGATTGCAACTTAGTGGGTCCCTCCCCTCCCAGAATGGGAAAGTCACAGACCCATGCTAGGAGAGATTTGGATACTTAAAAGTCGCTGGAGGGGATTAAGAGGCAGTAAGAAACACACAGCCCTGCGGTGTACTCTGCTGAGGCGATGGTCGCAGGTTGGGACGGCAGCATAGACTAGAGTGGTGGTCACTGCCTGGGATAGTACCAGAGAAATTAGGGAGCTAGGTGACGCCTGGAGCTGGGTGAAGAGATGGGCTGCAACTGGCTGTGACACAGCTAGACTCTGGACTGGTCAGAGAGTTGGTCTGTGTGGAAAGCCTCTGTGGAATGGGAGGCCACACCCAAGGGGTCTTCTCAAAAAATTGTTCTCAGATGCTGTATAAGGACCTCGCATACACAGAAACCTTACTTGCAAAGATCCTAACATGTTCAGTGGCCAGGACAGCAAAGAGGGAGGAATGGGAATGCAATTTGCTCTTATTCAGGGCACCTCATGGATTGATCAAACAGGGCAGTAGGGGCTTGGAGAGGTAGCAACACCCTAACAGACTCCATTCAATAGGGGAATTGAGCTGCCTTGTAGGCACTTTGCTCGTGTCCAGCATCCAGCCAACAAAGGGACAAGGGGCGCAATTTGCTCCCACTCAGTGCACCTCACAGACTGATCAAGGGGCTGCAAAATGAGGTGGATTATTGATGCAGGCCTAGTGCATAGATACAGAGTGGACAGTACAAGCTGCACAGTGCTGTGAGGGTGTGGGCTAGAAACTGGGCACCTGTGATTATTGTAGCCCAGACCAACGGGCATCCTCATGGAACCACAGGAAAAGAAAAAAAAAAAAAAATGAGCCCAGCCCTCCTCTGTCTGCCTGCAGGATCCAGGAAAACCTGCAAAACCTGCTTGGCAGGTTTAAAGTCAGCAGGAGGCTTTTTTTTTTTTCTTCTTCAAGGGTGAGACAATAAGACCTGGAGGTGTGAGAAAATCAGAGAGTTCCAGAAAGAAAGAAGGTGAACACCAATAGCTAAGACAAATGTCACTTTGCTCTCCTTCAGAACTTCATGTTTTTCTTTTTCCCTTCTTTCCATTTAGTTAGTTTTTTTGGTCTGATTTCATTATGTGATTGATTTTCTTCTCCCTTTCATATTGCATTTTAATTTTTATTTCACTTGTATTCCAATAACACTATTCTTGGCCTTTTACCTTTTTTCTTTTTATTCAGATTATATATTTCTTATTATACTATTCTTATTCCAAATCCCACACAGCACCCGTCCTTGGTCTTAATCCATTTTGTGACCTTCCCAAGCTTTATTACTGTTGTGGTTAACTTTATTTTCTCACATGCTACACCAGTTTTCTATCCTTGATCTCATTATTTCTCCTCCATATAACCTCGCGTAAGTGCTCAGCTTTCTAACTCGGTTCACATTCTTTTTCCCTTCCAATAAAAGTCTTAGCTTTTTTTAACCTTTTATAAAAAATGACTAGTTGGGTGAAATATCATGGTTATAAAACAGAAGTATCACAGTTCTTCTCCAAAGGATCTTCTATTTGTTCACTACTTGTTAATACTTTAAATCCCATAGAATACTCTGCCACTGTCTTATTCCATTTTGCTTTCACCCTGCCCCTGATCAGTTGAATAACGAACTTTATCTCATCA